GAGAGGAGAAGGCCAGGAAAGTTCCCCGAGAGCTCCCCAGGCTGCTCCTCAGCGCCCCCAACCACCTCTGCCCTCATCCCCGGAGCCACACAGCGGAGGAACAGAGAAGGCACTGATGACAACACAGCAGTCCCGCAGGGCCAGGGACCTCCGGAAGATCACCTCCACAGCCGACTCCGGAAGATCACCTCCACAGCCGACTCCGGAAGATCACCTCCACAGCCGACTCCGGAAGATCACCTCCACAGCCGACTCTGGTGGCATCCTGACCTCAGGCCGCTGCCCCCCCCCTCTCGGAAGTGCTCCCGAGCTGACCGGGCCTGCGCCGGCTGGCGGCTCGAGGGCAGCCTCAGCGCCAACCCCAGGGCTGGCAGGAGCACTCCCTGGGGTGCTGCAGAGACACCTGTTCTCTGCGCGTGTCCCTCCCTGCTCTGCCAGTTCAAACCGCAGCCTGGAGGCAGGGATGTAAGAGGCCCTGGAGGCAGGGATGTTAGAGGCCCTGGAGGCAGGGATGTTAGAGGCCCTGGAGGCAGGGATGTTAGAGGCCCTGGTTGGCTTCCTCCCTTACATTCCCTCTGGCAAAACAGGGAAACAGCTGGGCAAAGACCCAATGCTGGCTCAGGGCTTCATTCAGGGGCTGCAGAAGGGACTCGGCCTGGAAACGGAAGCACGGAGTCCCATGATCCACCCGCATCTGCGTGGCGGTGAATGCAAGCCTGCCTTTCCACAGGACGCCCCCCTTCCCACGGGTGCACCCCAGCATCACAGCTCCTCCGAGCTGTGTCCAGGTGGGAAGGGCCGGCAGGGCCTGGCTGGCACTTCTGGTGTTCAGAGCCAGGGCTGAGGGAGCGCATTAGCAGCTGGACAGAGATATCAACCACGGGGGCCCTGACCCAGCGGGGCACACTGCTGCGGGGCTCCAGATGTTTCCGGAGGGCCGTGATGTGGGGAGGGAGGCGGGCACCGCCCCGCCCCCACCCCGCATGCTACCGGCAATGCAGCGGGCCTGTGTGCGCGACACCACAGGGGGGACTGTCGCTGGCAGTCCCGGGACGCCCTGGCTGCCACGCTGGAAGCACGCTGGCACAGGGCCCGGGGACAGGCCGGGGCTCGGAGGTGGACACAGCCAGGCGCAGGGAGGGTGTCCTGGCCTGGGGCATCCGTGCTCTGACTGGACGGTGCGCCCAAGGTCGGAGCGTCCGCCCCACGGGACCCGTCCAGATGCTCTGGGCAGAGCCACAGCGGCCCGGTGCTTCCGTCTGGGCGGCTCCGTGGAGCAGCTGCGCCACCTCCAGTCCCTGCCTTGGCCTCCCAGCCTCCGTGCAGGGTCGGGGGCCCCGGGACCCCCCCATGGCCACACCCTTCCCAGACCAGTCCCAACGGCCTGTGCTCCGACATTTCACGCACACGTGTCCCAGCTGGAGCCGCTGCTGGGGGAGGGCGGCGCGGCGGTCCTACCTTGTTATAGTAATGCACCAGCACCGAGTGCCACCGCCCGTCGCTCACGCCTCCGGGGACCACGGGCACCACGGTGGTCGTTGTCTCCCCTGCAGAGGGAGGAAGACCCAGAGAGAAACGGCCGCGTAAGGCGGGCGGGGCTGAGGATCAGGCTGGACACCTTGCTCCCAGCCCGCCCGGGTCCCCCCTTCCTCCACATGGCCCCTGTGGTGACCCGTTCCCCACCCCCCGCCTCCGGGCCAGGGACGCTGACTCTCGGCCCTCACCCGCTGGAGCAGGTCGTGGCTCACTGGGCCCCAGTCCTGAGTCTTTCTAGTTACCAATACAACCCTTGTTCCTCCTTGTAAAGATGGAGACTGTGACAGGAAGGGTTTGTACCAGGCTGGGACCGCAGGGGACCTCCAGCTGGGCACCAACCGCCCATGCGGCGCCCAAACCTCTCCTCTTCATAAACTGTTGATCTGAGGTACTTTGTTACGGTGACAGAAAGCTAGGTGGCAGTGATCATGTGTGCCAGAACCACACAGATGGGAATGGCGGACAACCCCACAGACGCTGCGGCCTAACGGCCATGGCAGTACCCTCAGTGTCTTTGTTGATGTTTTTAGCCTTCGGGGCGTTGACGGTAGCTAAGGGGTACAACGCTCGCCTACCATGCACAAGGCTGGGTCCTAGCTTCAGCACGGAAAAAGAAAACTAGCCGAGTGTAATCCCACTCAGAAGGCTGTGATCTAGAGGATCACGGTGCAAAGCCAGCCCAGGCAGAAAAATTCACAAGACTCCACCTGCTCAAATGCGAGAGCGGAGGCCTGGCTCAACCAGCCCTGAGCAAAAAAGAGTATACGACCCTTTATAGAACGACTCTCAACTCTGGGGAAACGGCAGTTCTGCACTCCTGGTCTCACTGCTGCAGATAACACTGCAGGGAACATCTTTGTGCCTTCTGGAATCTTCTGCTGGGCAGATTCTTGGCCTTAGAATGTGGAGGCTAAGGAGAAGCAGCTCGGGTGTTCAAACATGCAGACGGTGACCCGCACAGCGAGGCCCCCGTCTCGGTCCGGCGGGAGGCCCACCTGCAGAGAAGGTGAGCTGCACCTGCTCCTCCACAATCTCCAGGGCGATGAAGTCGTGCTTCTCATTGAAGCGGCCGTTGTACAGCAGCAGCGCATTCCTCTCCTGCGTAGCAAACCTGTGGGCAGGGGACCCATGTAACACTGTGAGACCCGGGGTCCTGGGGCCGTCGGGGGGCAGAGGGGCAGCTCCCGGGAGCACACGGGCCTGGGCCAGGAAACACCCTCGTCTTGGGCACCATTCTCTCTCTCTCACACGCGCGTGCGCACGTGCACGCCCAAGGTGACGCTCCATCAACCACAACCCTCAGGGGAAACTGGTGGGATGTGAGATTACGATGCCCCATGTCTCGGGAGTGAGACGCGTGGTGTCCACGCAGGTCCTCAGGGCCGGGGTGTGGCCGCTGCTCACGCAGGGCTGCTGGTGTCCAAGGACCACCTCTTGTCCACCTGGCTCTGGCCACCACTCCAGGCACACGACAGTCTTTTTGCGCCCAATGTGCGGTGAAAAGACCCCAGGGCCTTTGCACCTGCTGTCCCCTGTCCATGGCAATCTTCCCCGGCAATCCAACAACATCTCCTCTAACTCCCTTTCACTAATTTTCTTTCCTGGCTCCATCAGCCTCTCCATCATCCCACTCATTTCTGAAGTTCTAAGAGCAGTTTCTGTAGGGGCAGGATCGTGACTCAGCCCAGGGCCAGGTCTGGCGCACACTCCCTCATAATGAAGATGTGCTGAGGCAGACATACGGAAATGGACTGACTGCAGGTCTTTTAAATATCCAGAGTGAAAAAACCCCCCAACTTACTCAGGGCTGGGGCCATGGCTCAAGTCTACAGACTCTGCCTAGCAAGCACTAGGCCTCAAGTTCAAGCTCTAGCACCTAAAAAATAAACCTGGCTGGGCCTGGTGGCTCACTCCTGTAACCCGTTACTCAGGAGGCAGAAATCCAAGGTGAGCCTGGGCAAAAAGTTAGTGAGACCCCCATCCCAGCAAATAAGCTGGACCAGATGCAGCGGTGGTTTGTGCGAGGTCGACCCCAGGCAAAATCTTGAGGCTGTATCTGAAGAAAACAATGAAAGCAAAAAAGGCTGAGCGCGTGGCTCAAGGGGAAGAGTCCCTGCCTGGGGAGGGTGCATCTCCACGTTTAAACCTCAGCACTGAAAAAAATCTAGGTTTTTAAAAAAATAACTGTATTTTTTTTCTTTCTTGGTTTAGGGGATCGAACCCAGGACGCTGCACTTGCTAGGCAAGTGCGTTGCCGCTGAGCTACACCCAAGCCCAGACAGAACCCAACTAGTTCTGAAAAAACATAATCACCTTGTCAGGATCCCCACCCCCTATGGTCCTGGAGACGTAAGTTCCCAGAGCCCCAGGGGCCGAGGGGTCTCAGACCCACCCTGCTCGCCAGCCGCCCGGGCACTGGCCCTGCGCCGGCCTCTCCCCAGCTCCATTCCCAGCCGGCAGAACCAGCGCCCCACGGCAGGCTGCCCTCTGTTGTCCCAGGCCTGAGTGGGGAGGAAATGCTTCGGAGTGAGCGGGCCAGGCCAGGCCGCACCACGCCAGGCCCACACAGGAGCCTCCCCTTAGATTTCATCTTGCAAGTTGCTTTTGGGCCCCAGCAGCGGGAAGCGTTGGCAGGGCGGGCTTTACTGGCTCCTGTGAGCACCATCCTCAAGAAATCAAGAAGGCCAGCCCAGGGGCGGGGCTGGAAGATGCAAATAAGCAGATGAGAGGAAATCAGAAACTGAGGCTGGAGGGACAAAGAGTGGGGGGGTGGGGCCGGCTGGAGCCAGTCACTGGGCAAACAGAAACTAGAAACGGGGGCCGGCTGGGAAAGCGGCCCAGGGCCCCCCAGGCCTGGCCCTGCAGCCTTGGACACCTGCTCCACGCCGGGGCAGGGGCGGGGACTTGGATGATTTTGTTTTTGGAGTTGGCCCAGGTGAGGGAAATTATTCGTAACCTTACAAAACCAGTGGGCGGACGTTGAGTTCAGCATTGTGGTCCCGAGCGTGCGCCCTGGGTGAGCCAGCAGGCTCCCTTCTCCTCCTCCGGCGCCAGGATGACCGGACCTCGAAGGCTGGCCTCCGGTGGGGTCCCTCCTGCAGCTGAGGGCCACCAACGCTCCCCCCGGGGGCTGTGGCCAACACACGGCTTCTGTCTGACAAAACCACCTGCCCAAGGCTCTCAGGACACCTGCCACCATCACCTGGTCCAGATGCAGTCCCCAGAGACTCCTGACCCAATGTGTGTTGGGAGGGGGGGTGGACAAGGACTCGCAGAAGCCCTCTGTTTCCAACAGCAAGCCCCACAGGGCCCGCAGAGCTGGGCAGCCCCTAGCAGAGCCCTTGTGTTGGAGACAGATGCCATGACAACCATCTCTGGCCAGACCGGGGACCGCCCCGGCCCAAGCACAGCAGAGACCTGGGCCCTGCGGGGCCTGACACGCCACTTTGGGGAAGGGTCAACACTGGCCATCTGACAAGAGAGTGGGGAAAAGAAAAGGCACCACCGGCCATGCTCCGATCTTCCCACTATGCCAGTCTGATGGAAACAAGGCAGAGGAGTGGGCTGTCCACAGCCAGAAAGTCCCTGCTGTGTGGCAGGGCCAGGTCCCCGGGGCACGCCCTTCAGCAGGCAGCTCAGGAAGAGCCAGGCCGGGGGACAGAGAAACAGTGCACACCCCCCAGGACCGCAATCCCCAGACTGGCACCCCAGACGAGGAACAGACACATCAGATGCACGCAGGTCTCAGAAAGCTCGACCCGATGGAAGTCTTTCACATGTGAATGACGAAAGAGTCCGTGAAACAAAAAGCTGGTTGTCAGAAAAAATTAGTAAGATTGATCAACTCTCAGCTAATTTGAGACAGAGACAGAGACAGAGACAGTCTCAAATCATATGTGAATAAGAGACTGAAATTTTTTTCGGACTAAAAAATTTTTAGTTACATCTAGCCAGGCATCAGCGGCTTATGCCTGTAATCCTAACTACTCAGAAGGCTGAGATCTGAAAATCTTGGTTCAAAGCCAGACCAGGCAAGAAAGTCTATGAAATTTCTATTTCCAATTCATCAGCAAAAAGCTGAAGTGAAGCTGTGGCTTAAGTGGTAGAATGCCAGCCTTGAGTTGAAAAGCTAAGGGATAATTCCCAGGTCCTGAGTTCAAGCCCCAGTACTGGGACCAAAAAAAAAAAAAAATAAGCCAGGCACTGGTGGCTACACTTGTAATCCTAGCTACTCAGGAGGCTGAGATCTGAGGATCAAGGTTCAAAGCCAGACTGGGCAAGAAAGCCCATGAGACTCTTATCTCTAACCACCAGAAAACCAGAAGTGGGGCTGGGAAGGTGGCTTAGTGGTAGAGTGCTTGCCTAGCATGCATGAAGCCCTGGGTTCGATTCCTCAGCACCACATACACAGAAAAAGCCAGAAGTGGTGCTGTGGCTCAAGTGATAGAGTATTAGCCTTGAGGAAAAGAAGCTCAAGGACAGTGCCCAGGCCCTGAGTTCAAGCCCTGAGGCTTGAAAAAAATGTCTGAAGCAAAAAAAAAAAAAGAAAATCGGAAGTGGCGCTGTGGCTCAAGTTATAGCACACTCGCCTTGAGCTGAAGAGCTGAGCAACAGCACCCAGGCCCAGAGTTCAAGCCCCACGACCGACCGAAAAAAGAAAGAAAGAAAGGAATTTTACTTGCATCCACTCTCCTAGTAGGATGAACTGTGGAAATATTAACAATTACCCAGTGTACAACTGGCCGGTGGCTCCGTTCAGGTGGGACCAGCGCCGGGAGGGACAGCAGCTAGCCCTGGGGGCCCCCGCTAGCCCTGGGGGCCCCCGCTAGCCCTGGGGGCCCCCGCTAGCCCTGGGGGGCCCCGCTAGCCCTGGGGACACCCGCACCTCAGGCCTGGTTCCTGAGCCTGCGGGTCTCCCGCCCTGCCCCTCCGGCCTCCTGACATCAGCGGTGGCCGCAGGTTGGCAGGTGGGATGGAACATGGTGGCCAGCTCCCAGGCTGGACCTGGCTGTCCCCCAGGCCGCACGTGGAAGCCCCCCTTTGGCACCGGCTCTGCTGTCACCAGGCTGTTGTCCAGGGCCTGGAGCCTACACGCTGTGCTGGCCTGGCCTACTCACCCACCCGTGCCCCCAGATGGCACTCGTGTGGCGATCTGGGACAATGAGCTGCTGTGAGGGGCCCTGATGCCCACGATGTCCACGCCTGAGCAGTACCCATGCATGAGCAGTACCCATGCCCGAGCAGTACCCATGCCTGAGCAGTACCCATGCCTGGGCAGTACCCATGGCTGAGCAGTACCCACACCTGAGCAGTACCCACGGCTGAGCAGTACCCATGGCTGAGCAGTACCCACGCCTGAGCACTTCCTGTACCCGGCCTGCGTGGTGGCGGCAGCCTGCGTAGTGCCCGGCCTGCGTGGTGGCGGCAGCCTGCGTGGTGCCCGGCCTGCGTGGCGGTGGCCTGCGTGGTGGTGGCCTGCATGGCGCCCGGCCTGCGTGGCGGTGGCCTGCGTGGCACCCAGCCTGCACAGCGGCGGCCTGGTGGCGGGTGCACTCACGTGAGGGAGATGGTGAAGTGGAAGCGCTGCCGCAGGCCCCGGAAGGTGACGAAGGACCGTGGCGGGAAGCTGCGCGTGCTGACCTCGCAGAAGGGCCGCTCGTACTCGCCGGGCGGGCACATGCAGTGAAAGCCGCCGATCAGCAGGTTCACGCACGTGCCCCCGTTCTTGCACACTCCGTTGGCGCAGCGGCCCGAGCGGACGTTCACCTGGCAGTGGTCCCCTGGGGATGAGAAGGGTCGCTTGACCACACCCCGGCCGCTGGACACACAGCCGGCGGTGCTGGGGGGAGGTGGGCCTGCTGGACGCTGGGGCCGTCCAGGGGGCAGCTCTCACCTCTCAGAGCCCCCTCCATCCCCCTAACCACCTCCCAAGACCCAGACCACCTCCGAACTGACTGCTCCTATCCGCCACCTCACCAACCTGTCCAGGCTGCCGGAGACAGAATGCTGGTTGCTGTGTGCCTTGGTCTCCCTGGCTCAGAACCCACCCTGACCCATGAGGACCCGGGTCCTGGTGGGTCCTCCAGCAAGGCCCAGCTCCCTCGGCCCACGCTCACCTCTCCACCCAGGGTGCTGGGGTCCCAGGGACTCCGGGGGCCACCATTAGGAATGACAGGGACCAACACAGCCACCGTGTGTCTCCTCGCCACGCCTGACCTCCTCTGGGCCACACCCGTTCAGGAAGCTTCCATGCTCCACAGCAGGCTGAAAGCCCCAGACCCAGGCCTGGGGCCTCCCCCACCTCCCATCCACCCGTGCAGGGTGCTGCTGCCCCCCCCCCCCGGCACTGCGAGGACAGCTGCAGCCGAGGGCCAAGTATGGAACCATCCGGCACAGAGAGGGCCTCTGGCGGGTGGTGCACTGCGGGGAGGGGGCCTTGGGATGTGCGCTGTGCCGCAGCCCCGGTAAATGCTTGCAGGATGAAGTCAGTGCACGCCAGCGCTTCCCCAGTCTCCAGGCAACAGCAACGCTCACACCTGGGCTAGGAGCACGTGTTGGGCGCAAAGGCTTCACACAATGAAGAACTGGCTTCATGCTAAACACACGCACTTCTAGAAAAGTATCAGCACCAGGCTTCAGGTAAATTAGGACAGACGGACAGGGCCTCACCTATGGGTTCTGGTACCTTCTTCCTCTAAGACCTGTGAGACCCCGGAGGGCCTGGCCCAGTGTCCACGAATAAGCCACAGAGCCTGTCACCTTGGGGCAGGGGTGAGGTGTCCAGGGGGTCAGGGGGCAGATACTCTACAGCCCAGCAGATGCCTCCACCCAGCCAGCTCCAAGCTGCCAACGTCACAGTGCTGAACAGGATGTAGAGATGATAGTACTCATTCTCCAAATTATCTTATTCACGGTAAAGAATCTAGGCCAAACTTAGCAAGCCCTATGCCTTTAGTTTTCTCCTGCAACACTCGGAGGAGACACTACTTTTACTGTTATTATTGTTACCATAATCATCATCATCATCATCATCACAAGAGACAGCTACTGTATAGCTCTGGATGGCCTTGAACTTATTATCCTACTGGTGCACAGAGTGCTGGGATTTCAGACATGAACCACTATGCCCAGCAAGAGATGCTGTTTGAGTGAAATGTATGTTTTTGAGTTGTTCACTATCAAGGTTTATGTTGTTTTTTCTATTATTATTTGTGTGTGCTGGTACTAAGGCATGAACACAGGGCTCCAGACCTGGAGTCAGGACCTGGTTTGCTTGCTTTACCTCTTGAGTTACATCTCCACTTTTTTGCTGGTTAGTTGGTGAGTCTCATGGACTTTTCCACCCTGGTTGGCTTCAAACCACAATCTTCAGATCTCAGCCTTCTACATAGCTAGGATTATCCCAGGAGCCTCCAGCTCCTGGCTAAGATTATTATTGTTCTTTTAGTTGTTTATATTTCAGATTTGTGTACTTCTTCTTTTCTCTTTTTCTGAGACAGAGTCTGACTATGTAGCCCAAATTATCCTCCTCCTGCTGACCTCCTGCCTCAGCCTCCCGTGCCCAGCCTTAGCTTGCCTGCTCTAGTGCTTATTCAAAATGAACATGGTGCGTCCTCTGCATCTTAGTGTTCTGCTTGGAAGTGACAAGGCCAGAACACCTCACCTCCTGCCCCGCCCCCTCACGGCTGCCCACCTCCCGTCCCACCTCTCACCCCCACCCATTCCTCACAGCCACCC